GAGTACTGGTTTGCTTGTTTCCCCATCTTAATATGTTGCTCAAATAAGTAGGGGTGGCCCTTTTGCTAATGGTGTCTCCTAGCAAGGGGTGGGGACAAAAACCAAAATGTCTCCCTGTTGCCTCAGATAACTTAGACATTAAAGGTCAGCAGCTGGCAGCCCTACGGCTTAGGCCAAAAAATCCTTGCCACAGAGGCACATGTTTGCATGCGCATGCATGTGGCAGGGCTTAGTTTGGGGGCTTGTGGGGTGTATCACCCAATGAGCTGCTAACCAATGAACATTGGACATTTTAAAAGAAGTCCGCTTTAGCCCTGGTTGGGTAGCATCAGTGGGGCTGGTAGCAGGGAGGGCTTTTGTCTGGGGCAGAAAACGCTAGACTTTGTATTTCCTCCGTTTTCCTGCTAGGTTTTGTGCCCTGCCTCCTGTGAGCCAATTAATTCTGATATGGAGCTGCCCCTTGAAATAACAGCCAGCCCCCCGGACCCAGCCCCAGGAACCCGGTCCCTGGAGGAGGAGCTCCAAGAAGCCATCCAGAAAGCTCAGGTACTGTGGGGCGAGGAGGCCCAGCTGGGCTTCTCCAACCTCTGCACATGCGCTGAGGAACTCTTCCCCTTTTTAATTATAATTATCCCACATGTTCCAAGTCTGAAGTCTTGAAAACAAATTTATAGGATGAGCATCTAGGCCATATTGAGCTTACCCCCTGCCTGAAACGCATCACTCCATAGAAGACCCCTGTACAAAAAAGGACCCTGCCCCAGAGCTGACTGAATGACTGGGCTTCGTGAAGGATCCCTTTGTAATTGCTCTTCTTTTTCCTTCCCTGTCTGCAGCTGGTGCCAAGCCAATCGATCGAAGATATCTTAGAGGAACCGCTGATGTGTTCAGGTGAGGAAATGGCCCCCGTAACCCAGCTTACCGGTAGGGGGCAGCCGTAAACCACAATTTGCTATGGGAGAAGCTCCAAGAATGGAGCCAATGGGGCAATGATACATTTTTTTCAGAAGACTAGGAATCTGGGGCTCAAGCCCTGCTTCAGAATCATATTCTCTGCCCTGGAAATATAACCCCCGAACCCCAGGCAGGTGGGGCAGGATTGTTGGTTACTCAATGGTGAGCGGCAGGCATTCTGCACATGCCCAAAGCCATTGTTAGCCATGCCTTCCCGTGCAAAGTCCTGACACAGAAACAGGTTGTGCTGCTTAGATCTGAACAAGCTCAGGGTTAGGAGGGCACGGTCGGTGTGCTGCTGTGCCAAGTTATATCCCGTTTTTCCTCATCTGCTCCAGGTGACCTTCTTCAAGCACCTGCCTTGAACCCAGAAGTCCCTGATCGAGTTGCCCCATCCCCGCAAGAAGCGTCACCACCAAAGAAACCGCGGCCCAGCAGCGAAGCTCCTTTGGTGACCTCCGCCATCTTTGATTTTCCTGGTCCCTACGACTTCCTCTCGACGGCCTCCTCTTCCTCTGCATCGCTGGACTCACTGTCCTCTGTTTTCTCCCCTGACTCTCTGGAGATGCCCCCATCTCCCCCAGATGCCTGGCAGGGAAATGGTGCCCGTGCTGGATTTGACCCGGTCGATTGGCTAGAGGCCTTGACCTCGGGCTCAGCATCAGGCCTCGGCTCCAGCAGTCCTGTTGGGGGCAGCATCTTCTGCACGGACTTCTTTGATTCAACCGACCTTGGCGTCAACCACATGATAGACTTAATGGTGGAGCAGTGGTAGGCGGGGTGCTAGCAGCCCATTCGGAGACCCCAAGGCCTGGAGGGAAAGGGGGAGAATCCTCTGCATACCCTGTAAGGCCTTGCCGGCACTGGGTACCACCTTGAATGGGTGAGAACGAGAGAGCAGTTTAATGTCAAGCATTGTCACGGGTGGTTTTGTTTCGGTTCATGCCAAGCCCAGTTGCTCTCTTAGAAGAATTAAGCACCCTGATGTTTGGGTTGTGTCAGCACCAGGCACCTCATCTTCAATGGCCCGACAGCCCCAGAAACCCTTTGCTGTCCTCTAGCTTGAGATGGATGAAGCCAATATTTGCAAGGACAGTGGTCCAGCCAGCCTGCTGCATCGGGATGGTTCAAGACATCGAGGACCTTTACAAACGTTGGAGATGAATTAAAATGTGTGCCTTTCTGCCATGCAGAACCGTGAAGCAGTTCTTAAAAAAAAATTATGGTTTGGAAGGGCACCAGTTTTCAACACCACCTCACCTGGAACCTGGGTTCTTAACAACTTTGGAAGCCATCTTGAATGAAAGCTTTGGTATATGGGTCACGCTACATTGAACCTTGGATGCCTGCATCGTTTCAACTCATTAATAGAACAGGAAGTGCCGTGGTCTACCCTCAAAGCATCTTCAAGAGGTCATGTTGGCTCGGTTGAACCGTGAGAACAACACCAGCTCTGCCCACATCTGCGTGGCCCCATAGATCTAGATGCACGCTGGCTTAGGATGAGAAGTGCAGGTTCTACCTTGGTGTGAGGAGATACCATCATTTTATTGAGTTAAACAGAGGAAGTGCCAGCTCAGAAACAATTTGGACCGTGCCATCTCAAGCCCCTGGCACATTGAGGGAGAAGCAAAGATTTCCTGGGGCTGCCCTGAATGGGCTACACCAGCAGTGGCAACCTCATGTTTTACTGAAAGCAGGGGGGGGGGAGCGGGAGGGAGGAAAACATCTGTGTTGGGGACTGAACCATCTTTTGTGGCCGCTCAAAGAGAGATGGGATTGGAAGGGCGAAATGCAGCTTCAACCGCTCATGCCATTCTGACCCTTGCTGTCATTCTTACTTGGTGTTGCAAAGTAGAGGGTGCATATGCAGACACAGGGCTCGGGACCACTTCTTTTTGGTCTGGGGGTGCAGGGGTAGGAAAGCTCCCAAAGGGAGCTGGATATGGAGGGATCTGTTTTCACAAGGGAGATGATGGTAGTGGTGGCTCATATCCTAGTAGCCAAAGGTTGCTGGGACATTTAGGCCAATGGGCTTGTGGCAGGATCCGGGCACAGCTATAGAAACTTCTCATGTGGAAACATCTAAGCAAAGGCTTAATTCTGCTTTAATTTATAGCCATTCCATCTTTACTGGAATCCCTGAAAACTGTGGTTCTGTGAGACTGGCCCAGGGTATTCTAACAGAGAATTTCCACCGCTCTCACCAAGCTAAGGACTTCTCTGTTTGCTCCATGATTTCTAGGCACAGGTCTGAGAGGTTTTTCTTCTGTCTTGTGGGTTTCCCTAGCAAAGCTCCCTGTTTACTGCCCAGTCAGAACAAAGTCAATCTGCTGAAAACCCAATTGGCGTTTGTTCCGATTCAGCAGTGAACAGCAGGTTTTCCTGGGGAAACTGGCAAGACTAAAGAAAAAAACCTCCCAGACCCTTGCCTAGAAATCATGGGGCAAACAGAAGTGTGAATAATAAGTCTTTAGTTTGGTGAGAGCAGAGGAAATTCTCTGTTAGAATACCTTGGTCAGTGTGGGTGAGCCCTGTGTTTCTCTGGAGTTTTTGGAAGAAGGTATGACAAGTTAAACTGAGATAATATTGCCAAACGTTTCAAAGCAAACATAGACTATTAGGGTGTGCCTGCTGCAGCTACGCTCTCAAACTACTAGACCTACATAAAAACAGGACCCACTCTGTTGTAGAAAGCGGACTCACCCCGGTCTTGTCTCACACAAACAATATTCTCTTGAGGACCAAGTGCAGGGGAAATAACTTTTACTGCTTTGAAGTAGAAGGGGCTGTGCAGACTGTTGACTGGCTGGGCACCTGTGACATCATAAGTATAGCTTCCCCTCCCCAGAGCAGCCTTTCAGCCTCAGGTTTTAATGCATGCGTGCATGCACACATATACATACATACATACAGATACTGTATAATTGTATATCTGTAGTAAGAAAAAAAGACACTGTATACCAGAAGCATGCAGGAAAGGGCCAAAACTGGCAAGAAAATTTGCATTCCCCATAATTTGAAGAGCAAAGGCAGAGGGAAGCTGAGCTCTCCCCCTGCAGGGGTCAAAGAGTGCTGGGTCCTCTTTTTTATGTACCTCTCTCTGTAACCTCAGAACAGTTTGCTGCACCAGCCATTTCAGCTGTGAAACACTTTCACTTCTGTACTGTCCACACTGTTGACTTGACAAGTTGGATTGTACGAAAGTGAAGGCAGTTTGAGAGTGTAGGCATTAAAGAAACACCCACTTCAAAGCACATACAGTGGATCCTCGGAAGTCAAACGTAATCCATTCCAGAAGGACGTTCGACTTCTGAAAGGTTCGAATTCCGAGGCGTGGCTTCCGGCTGGCTGACAGCTAGGCTTTTTGCAGATCGGAGCCACGTCGGATGTTTGGATTCTGAGGAACGTTTGAAAACGGAACACTTCCGGGAGCCAAAACGTTTGGGAACGGAGCTGTTCGAGAACCAAGGTTCCATTGTACTCCTGTTGCCTGAGAGCCAACAGAGCACACAAGGCATCTGCCTGTGACTTTGCCCTCCTGGTAACATCATACATTTAACACACATGGCTTCCCCCCAAAGAATCCTGGGAACCATAGTTTAAGGGTACTGGGAATTGTAGCTTCCATTCCCAGGATTCTTTTTCTGGGGATGCAATGTGCTTGGAATGTGTGGCATGGGTGTGACATGGCAACTCATCGGCTAGGGTAAACCAGTCATAAGATGCGGGAGGCAGGGTCCTTGGTGTTCAGCCTGCACAATTGTGGGGTTCTGCTTATTTAAAAATCATCCAGCCGATTGTTCTCCACAAGCGGAAAAGCTGCCATGGAAAGAGCCACCAAGTTAAGCCTGACAAGGAAGATAGCCATGTGTGTACCCTGTTCTTCCAACACAGAGACCTTCAACATTGTAACCATCATCGCCTGCTGTCTCCAAATAAACACCATTTCTCGCTGCCTCAAATACAGGTGGGTTGTTGTTGTTGTATTTTATAATACCCTCGTGAAATTGGCTTAGGTTGGTTCAAGGCGCTGTACAGGGCTTGTGTGGAGGAGAAGCTCAGTAAGCCTGGAGAAATCATGCACAATGCCCAAGAAGTTTAAGTGCTGGTATCAGCCAGGAAAAGAAGGCAGCAGCTCCCTGGTCTTTTGCAATGCCATGTCTTATGGGTGAGTACATGGGGCAGGAGAGTGGAAAAAGAAGGCTCCATATAGTCTTCCCAGGTCCGATTATGGTTCCACTCCTCAGATAGCCTGCTGAACGTGTCTTTGTTATAATTGCTTCCTCTTCTGCCTTGCTGCTCCACAAGCCCCATGTTCTGGTGCCTGCCTGAATCCTTGTTCCAGTCCTACTTTGGATAGATTTTTCAGCTCCATCCAGGGCCAGTCTTAATCCTGCTGGGACTTGCACTCCCTGTGCCTCCCAGGGTCTTTTGATAGCCCTGGTTTCCAGGCTCCTTGTACCTCTGTAGATCTTTCCTGCCTGCTTTCAAACAACTCAAATTCTGACTTTCAGTCCCCTTAATAACACAGGCATGGAGGACCTTTGGCCTCTGAATGCTGATGGAAGTTGTAATTAAGGAACATCTGGAGGGCCACAGGTGCCCCACATCTGTCTTAATGGTTTGCTCTCCTTTCCCATAAAACATTAACTAAGTAAATATCACACAGACCCAGTTGCTCTCTGCCCCTGCCCCAAGCATTATATATACTGTATGAGGAGGAATTTAGACTGGAAAAACAGTGGGGAAAGGGTTGGGCACTTCTTCCCCACCCACCGTTTCTCCTTAAAGCTACTGTTCCTCAGAAAAAAAGCAACATTACGTGCTTCCTGCATTGCTCCATCTGGGTCAATGGTTTCCCCCTTTCCAAACTTTTAGTCCTCCCTAGTAAGTACAGCAAGGGCACTTGCAGACTGTCAACCAATCGTGGACTGGGATTCAATCACATTCCAGCAAATTCAGGCTAAGGAATTAAACCTGATTTGGAGCTCTTGTGCAACAAACCTCCTTCCTCAAAATAATGGACCTCGCAATCAAGGAATGAGGTAAAATAATGTGGGATTGATTAGGCAACGTTGCATCCGTCTCCCCATAAACAAATCGGGATGAATGTTGTTAAATCCGGTAGCAAACTCAACCCTGACTAGCTTATTTGCAAATAATTCAGGCTGAACGTTCACCAGACAGGTTGTGTGGAAGCTGTTTGCAAGCCATCTCGGAGCCCTGAAAGTTATGTCTTCCTGATGCCGTCTTCATACTCTCCCCCACAGAACCCAAGAGAGGCTTTTATCTATTAAAAGATATCCACTATCTTTATCAATTACTGATAAATAAATAAAGTAGACCAGCTAGTACAATATAAGAGCGCCTGTGGGCAGGAATCTGTGTCTGAAGAACTTGAAAAGAGTGTGGGTGGGTGTGACTGAGACTTCACATTGCCACCAGCTCTGAGGATCCACTTTCACTTTCATCATCGTCATCATCTTCCTCATCTTCTTCCCCCTTCTTACGACGAAAGTAAGCAAACAGGCTATAAAGTTAAAAGGGGTTATGGAGAAAGAAAGAATTAGAGACTCAGTCAGCAGATTTCAAACTTTCTAGCTTCAGAGAATGCTTTCCTCAGGGCCTTGACCACTCATGAAACTCTATGTATGTGTCATGGAGCCCAAATATCTTGCAAAGGATTCGGGGAAGCCGCTTAGCATGAACAGACTGACACAAGGCTTGAATCTGAGGTGGCTCCCACTGGGAATGTAATCAAACATTTTTTGTTGTCCTTTTGATAGGATCTGAGGGAGCTTTTCTGCCGTTACTGATAATCTTACAGAGAGTTTACCAGGCATTTACCACTCTCGCCTTATACACTGCTATGTGTACCTCTCCATCCACACACACACATGCACAAACACCTGGTGGCAGTCTATATCCATATGTCAGTCTTTTAGCCCTCTGGGATGGTGGTGCAACCTCAAAGGTGCCAGCTGGCCTGCTGAGTAGGGCATTGTATTATTTCCAAGCTTAAAGTGGGCATTTGGGAACAGAGGCTCTCGAGATGAAGGGGTGGGCCTGGCGTACCCTAGTGTTAACCTATTACCAGTCACCCTCGGGGTGCCATCCCAGCCCCCCAGGACTCACAATGCAAGAACGATGAAGACAAACAACCCGCCTGTGCCCCCAATCACTATCCAAACGGAGAAGTCGGCTTGAGGGGGTGGAGCCCTGGATGAGATCCCCAAGGCAAGGGGGACTGTCATCGTTGTGTGTGACGGGCGGGGGAACCACGTGGTCTTCCCAACTGCAGGCACCACTGAAGAAAAGAGATTAGAAAGAGAAGGTCCTTTAATCAATATATCAGCTAGATGAATTAGTTAAAAACTCCTTAAAATAACCTTTTAAAAGGCATCCCTGATTAAGTGGACAATGCTTTTTACACACACACACACACACAGAGAGAGAGAGAGAGAGAGAGAGAGAGAGAGAAAGAGAGAGAGAGAGAGAGAGAGAGATTTTAATATAGGTTCTTATAAAGGCTGATGGGTGCCATCTTAGATGATAATAACAATAACAATAATAATAATTTTTATTTATATGCCGCCCTCCCCAGCCAAGACCGGGCTCAGGGCAGCTAACACCAGGTATAAAAACAATTGATTAAAATACAACTTAAAAACAAGATTAAAATATATACAGTATGTGCAACATCGAATGGTAAATATAAAATACATTTTATATTCAAAACTATTATTTAGCCAAATGCAAGCATGCAGACATAATTAGTTAAACCTATTTTTTATTTGTCCAATAAGGCTACATCCCTAAACACACCAAGGAATAAGTTTCACTGAACTGAATGGGACGTGCTTCTGCACAAGCATGTATGGCTATCTGGGATGCCTTACTACACCTTGCCTTGAGTTTCAACTGCCCCCTGCTGGCTATTTGCCAATACTACAGCTCTGCAAAGTAAAATGAAAGCTAGTTCATCTTAACAGAGGCTACTAGATAGATCCCTTTGGCCATATACCGTATTTCTCGCTCTATAAGATGCACCAGACTACAAGACGCACCTAGTTTTTGGAGGAGGAAAACAAGAAAAAAAATATTCTGAATCTCAGAAGCCAGAAAAGCAAGAGGGATCGCTGCGCAGTGAAAGCAGCAATCCCTCTTGCTGTTCTGGCTTCTGGGATAGCTGCGCAGCCTGCATTCGCTCCATAAGACGCACACACATTTCACTTTACTTTTTAGGAGGGAAAAGTGAGTCTTATGGAGCAAAAAATACAGTAACTACAGCAGGCAACATGGTTCTGCGGTGAAATGCATGTTCTCCATCTGCTCCATTGAAAAGTCAGCTCCATCAGGCTCTTTCCTCAACTTTCACCAGCAGCCAGTTCATCAGGCAATTGGAGACAGAGACAGATGGGACAAGAATTCTGTAGCTGAGAAATAGTGCCTGAGGGTTTTTTGCCTGCCTGCCTGCCTGCCTTCCTATCCCTTTTCCTTTTGTGTCATGTCCTTTAGAGTGAAAGCCTCTCTGGAAGACTTTTTGGTTTTTAAAAAAGAGAATTTTTAAAAAATGCTTCACTTTTTTTAAAAAAATGTACATATAAGGTGAAAATTCCCTATCCATTTCCACTTAAACAACGTCAGGCAGCAGGCCTGTGAAAGGCCCTTATCTATGGGACCTTGGAAAGCTACTGCCAGTCAGAGTAGACATTTTGGGACTAGGTGGATCAACAGGTCAACACCCTCCCGAGAATGCATGAGGAGGCATTACAAACTATGTGGGATAACCTTAAACTCCAATGCCCCTGGCGCCTAAACATGCACTGCCATCTGCTCATTTAGGCACATGTGAGGAGGGGTTCTCTGCACATACACAGTTGCGCTGCTCATGACGGGCTGACGATTGCCCCTTGCATAGAGGAGCCTTCATGCATGAGACTCAGTCCGTGTGCAGACCCCCTTCTCACATGCAAGTGGCGTGGTGGTGGGGGGCTAACCTATGTAGTCACATGTGTACTTTGGACGTGGTGTGTGTGTGTGTGTGTGTGTGTGTGTGTGTTGGGGGTATGTTATCTGAGCCCTTTAACATAGTCCACTCTTCCCCATATTCACTTAACTTACCTTGTACTAGGAAGTCAAGGTAGCTAGAAACAGTTCCCTTCAAATCTGCCATATCGCACCGGTATCTGCCCGAGTCATTTACGTTCACTTCCTTCTTTACCAGAAAGGAATCCATACTGCTGCTCATCGGTTGTAGCTTGCCTTTCACTACCTAAGAAGAAGGGTTGCATTTGGACACTAGCGTTGAGAAATAAGTGGCTTTTCGTGCATGTATGTGTTTTCCTGCTGACAGGAACCCCTGCAAAGCCCTCTTTGACTCCAGCCCACCACTGTCCATGTTCAAATCCAATGCCAGGCCCCCACAGGGAGTGGGAGCACCACAGAGAGCCCCAACTGAGCAACTCGCTTCAACAAAAGTTGAACGCAGAATGAGCCCTTCTAAGAATCTGCCTCTAGACTCAGTGGTGTAGTTAGCCGCTCAGGTGCCTCTCCGTAGCCTCCCCCTCAGCTGTAGGGCAGCTGAGGGAGAGGCGGTGAGCAGATGCAAGCTCCACGCTCTCGTTTCAGGCGCTCAAGGCCCCACGTCACTCCCAGGAGAGACACGTGGCTCAGGCACACTGCAGGCCCTGCAATAAGTGCCAGCCTCCGCGGTGTGACGCCTAGTGCCAGCTGGGTTTTGTTGTATTTGTTGACTGAACTAAAAAGTTTCGTGAGCCCTCTTTTTTAAACTCATATTTTTGTCATCCCCCCTCAGTGATGACACCCGGGGCGGCCCACACCCACTGCACCCCCTTTCCTCCACTACTGTCTAGACTACCTTTTCCAGGCTCTGCCCCCTTGTGGATAACTTAAAAGATGGGCACGCCTTCTCTCTTCCATAGCCTCCCTCCCAGGGTGCTCCCTGGAGCACTAGACTGGTGAGATGCAGCAGGAGACATTGGATTCCTCCGACTCCGGTGTGTGAAAGGATCCCCGGCTCTAGCCCTACAGACCCTGGCGATCTGGGTGCTTGTTCAGCGGGGTCCCATCTGTCAGCCCCAGGTTCCGTGATCTCCTGCTCTTCAGCATCAGATTTGGAGCCCTGAACCTGGTCTGACTGCATAGCTGAGGAAACCGCAGCCTTTGACCCCAAACCTCCATCGATAACTAGATTCTGCGGTTGTATAACCACCCATAATAGTAATGGGGGATTTTGTTTCTGATTAAGGCTCTAAATGGCTTGGGACCCAATACCAGAAGGATCACCTTCCCCTTCCCATATTGTAAGATTCTCAAAGGAAGCTCTTTCCCATCTTCTATCGCTGGGCGAGGTGTGTGCTGCCGTTATGTGGGAGACAGCCCTTCCCTTAGAAGCCCAGCTGGCACAAAGCTAAGACTTACTTGTTTGCCCAGACAATTTAGTTAGCTGGTTGTTGGTTTAGTGTGCTCTGTGGTTGTTATTGTTGTGTAATTTATGGTTTTGTTTATTTTGGGTGCCTGCTTCACAGACAAAGGGTGAGTTATAAATATTAGACGTTATCAGCATCAGATAATATATTTTCCACACAGATTTGAACTCCAACTTATTTCCTTGTTAAAGTGGGGTCCAGAGTGGTGTAATGGTTCAAAGTGTTGGACTAGGGTCCCCAGATGTTGTTGGACTACAACTCCCATCATCCCTGACCACTGGTCATGCTGGCTAGGAATGATGGGAGTTGTAGTCCAACAACATCTGGGGACCCACAGGTTCAGAAACACTGTAAGGAGACCCAAGTCTCTACTGAGACATGAAGCTCACAGAGGTTGTGGCCACCTGTCACACTCTCTGCAAGGTTGTCATGAGCATGAACCCTGCAGCATGAAAATGTGATTGACACATAAGCTAACTCTTGGCATGGGTGGGGAGTTACAGGTCAAAAGTCAGTGGCGGTAGATTTTTGGGGAGCTGGCAAAGGGGAAGGCCACTTCTCAGAGGCACTGCCTACCCGGTAGAAGATGTATTTCTTCACACTTTGACTAAGCTTGTGCCACTGCAGAGCACAGTCCAGAACCAGATCTTCATCCATTTCCACTTGTATCCTCCTTTCTGCAAAATCCAAGTATCCAAAATCTGTTCTTGTAGGTACTTAACATTTAATCCACTACTGCCTGCCACATATGCAACATTATCATTGATTGCCCACGAGTAAAACCGTTAGAACATACAAACAGCACTCTAAGAAGGCACCTTGTTTTACTTATACAGGGACACGTTGTTAGTTGTTGCTGTTGTTTAAAGCGTTTGTACCCTGCTCTTCAGCCAAAAAGAGAGCGGCTTACATATAGTCAAAACAAGACAGTCCCTATGATATACAGCCCAGCAAAGCTATTACCTAAGTAGTAATGGGACTGGCTGGGAAGGAAGGAGCCTGGTGGGGATTATTGTGTTCAAGGTGGGGGAAGAGGATTGGTGAAGGGCTTGGTGGAGAAATCTGGGAGCTGGGATTTTATTCTCAGGGCAGGATGAGTTGAGTGGTCACTTGGGCATCACCAGAGAGAGAGAGAGAGAGAGAGAGAGAGAGAGAGAGAGAGAGAGAGTGTCACATATTCACTTATTCACATAAAATGTGCATGTGCTCATTTATATAATAGATGCAAATTAGAAAAACAACCTGGTCCACCATAGTGGGGGAAACTGAGTAGGTGACTTGTGTGCCTGCTCAGCCTGTTGCCCAGGTATTGCTAAGGATGGATAAACAACCTATGGTTGCTCTCTGGTCTTATGGTTTTTTAAAACAGACATCCCTTGGGCAGAAGATTCCTGCATCACAGGGGGTTAGACTAGATGACCCTAGGGGTTCCCTTCCAATTCTTTGATTCTATGATTCTAAGGACACTAGCCGCATACAACTTCCTTCCACTGGCTGTCAGAAGCCGTTGCAAGGTTTGGATTGGAGGAGGGGAGCTCTCCCATTTGCTCCCAAAAGTTCTGAATTCCCACCCCCACCCCCAAAAATTGTAGCTCACCTGGGGAGAAGGGCAACATGGCCGTATTCCACTGTCAAGCCCAGTGGAAGCTTGTCCTCTAGGGCGAATGGGACACTGCCCTGCCAACTTCCATCTCCTCCCCTCAGCCAATGCTCCCCTTCCTGCCTGCCTTCTTACAACTAGTCCCAGTAGGTCCGTTTAGACTGGCCTCGGGCGTCTTTCTCTTGTATCTCAATCCTGCCAGGCCCTGTCTTCTGCCACAGATTTGTGGGCCCCAAACTGAGCCTGCTCCCTTTTCTCAGCTCTTACCTCCACACCGGTATTTCTTGTTGCACGTGTAAGTCCGTACGAGGCACGTGAAGCAATGAGTAAGCACGTAGCTCATCACACCTGCAGAACGAGAGGACCAGAAGGAGGGTTCTGGGTTCGGGCAGAAGGAGGGTGAACTGGAGAGAAGGTGACAGATAGTGGGACAAGCACAGCAATCTGGCTCACCAAACACAAACTCCCCTGGGAACAAATCTCTTGGGAATAAATGATGGCACTACAAGAAGAAGAAGAAGAAGAAGAAGAAGAAGAAGAAGAAGAAGAAGAAGAAGAAGAAGAAGAGGAGGAGGAGGAGGAGGAGGAGGAGGAGGAGGAATTTGGATTTGATATCCCGCTTTATCATTAGAGTCTGGTCTGGGACCGTAATAAATTCAGTTCAAATGATGGCAGTGGCCTTGTGCAGCTCCTGTTCATTACTGATTTGAGGCTGGAACATAGGGGTCACCAACTGATTCTATGCCTCCACCCCTCTGGTCTGCCCCACTCCTACACCTATAACAACAGAAAGTAGTGCATGTGTGAAGATAAGCATTGCCATCCTGGGTTTAGCACATTGGTGTTAGCAAAAAACAACAACAACCCAGCTTGCCCGTCATTTTAAATATAACTCAAACACCCTGACACTGAAATTTCATAATAAGCTGCTGGGTGAGGCCAGTGGCCAGCATCCTGTTCTCACTGTGGCCAACCAGATGCCTATGGGAAGCCTGCGGAAAGCAGGATGTGATCACAAGAGCACTTTCCCCTTCTGCTGTTTCCAGCCACTGGTATTCAGGAGCATTACTGCCACCTGAAGGCAAAGCATAGTGAAGGGGAGTGAAAGCATTCAGGACAAGAAAGGTAATAGTTTTTATTTGCTACTGATCAATAAGGGAGACTCTTACCAGTTCAGCATATCAGAGTGAGAGCACTCGTGGTACCGGGTGTGGAGTGTAAAGCAGTCAATTCACTCTCTCTACTACCCACCAAACTCAAACCTAATCAAGGAGTCAGCTATACAGCTGCAAATAAAACGTTTTAAGTGTGTTTTAAGTGCAATATACAATGTGACACTAGATGGCGGTGGTGAGCCTCATGGAAAATTCAATGGTGTTGTGTTGTTGTTGTTGTTGTTGTTTTTTTAAAAAACGCTTTAAAAAAAGAAGAAGCCTTTTCAGAACAGTTCTCATATGTGCGTAGATTCCACCCAAGTCATCCTTGGCACATCTAGATTTGATTTCCTCAAAGGCCCTAACAGAAAAAGCTCCACACCTGAGGCACTGACACCAAGTGTAGTCACTTTAGTACTCACTGGCATTACTTAAGGTAAGAGTGAGCAGATTTCTTAGCATACCTCTGGCTGATTTGCAGTAGATCTGCAATTGTTTAACAACAGCAATAGGGTTTGCGCCCCCTTTAAATTAGGCTTCTAAGACTAAGAAAGCTTGGAAGATGACATGGAATGGAGTTTCGGGTGAAAGGATGCTGAGCTTGGTTCAGGTACAGAGAACAAAGTCTGTGCTTTGTTCCTTCTGTGCCTATTTCTTCCACTGCCACCTCTGTTTCTGCCTTTCTGTCTCTCTAATTTCTCAACCAGGATAGCTATGCTGCTTCTAGTCAGCAATGCTTCTGTTCTTTTCTAACTTCCCACTCTAAACTAGCTGAGCTGTATTCATGTCTATCTGGCACTCAACACCTTCCTCTTATCCCTATAGACTTTTAGATTTAACTCCAAAGCCACCAGTCCAACTGGAATGTGTGTGTGTGTGTGTGTGTGTGTGTGTGTGTGTGAGAGAGAGAGAGAGAGAGAGAGAGAGAGAGAGAGAGAGACTTACAAAACAGAAATTTTAAATTCTTATAGCAAAACATTTTGGCTTCTGCCTTCTTTATTCTTTGGTTTGTTGCTTGGTTTTAATTGACCATAGCAGCAGTTTAATTTGCCCCATTGTGTGCATTGACTCTGAGCATATCAGTTGGATACACGTAGACAAGGGCATCCCTTTACATATGTAGACATGGTTGTGCTGTAACATCATGTTGCTGTTAATGGCAGATCCACAGGAGCTGGCTGATAAGCTATCAGCTCTAATAGCGCAGAACTCTCCTGGGGCTTGTTTCGTGTATTAACTAGGTGGGAGGGTTTGGCTGATCATTTGGGGTTTCTGCCTCTGGCAGCAAAAGGCCTCAAGAGCAGTGTTTCCCAACCTTTTTTGGGCAAAGGCACACTTGTTTGATGAAAAAAATCTCGAGGCACACCACCATTACAGCCCCGTGACGTCAGCGCGCAGCGTCACGCCGGGAGGGACGCACGAAAATGTAACTTTCAATTTTTTTCCCTCCCCCTTGCCGGGGAACCTCCAAGCTTTGGGGGTGGGGGGGGAGGAGGCAGCAAAGCGAGGGACTGAGGGACTCCTCCAACGACAAGGGTTGGGGAAGAAGAGAAAGGGCTATTCCGCTCCAGTCACGGGAGGGGAATATGTACTGGCCCAACTGGTGTGCGGTCTTCGGAAAGCGGGGTGCGGGAAGGAAGCCTAGGCTCGGGGTCCACCGACCTCGGCGGAGAAAGGCAACAACCGGAGCCGATTACGAGCCGGCGCATGCGTGCAGCGGCTGGCCTCGAGCTCGGGAAGCTGCGCACGGCGATGTCGCGGGGCGCGCGAGAGCTTGGGGGCGGGGCGGGAGAGAGAGAGAAAGAGTTGGCAGCACCAGGCGCTGTTACTTATTGCGCTGCGGACGCTGCCAGCAACTGCGGTGGTTGTGCGGCCGCCGCCGCCGCAGAACGTCCTCGTCAGTCAGCTGAGCTGCCTGGCGGCGTAGGGAGCCGAGGGGCGGGGCTTCCTTTCTGAAGGAGCTGAGGGTGGGGGTCTTCCGGCGCCTTCGGCGAAACGGCGCCGGCCCAGAGCGCTTCTAGGAGGCTGCCTTTGTGCGCGACGTAAAGCCCTCTTTCCCTCCCTCCAGCCCCGTGTCACATGTGGAAAAGGGGGCTGGATCCAGTGACGCAACTCGGAAAACTGTTAGGGAAGCCAGAGCAGGAAAGTGAGTGGGAGGCGGCGGCGCCGCTTTAACCCACGTTTCCTTTTTGAAAGAGAAACCAGTGTTTCCCAACCTTTTTTGGACTCGCTCGCGGCACACCAGGCAACATCTCGCGGCACACTAGTGTGCCGCGGAACACCGGTTGGGAAACACTGCTCAAGAGACTCCTGAGGGAAGGAGCCATAGTTCAATCGCAGAGTACATGCTTTGAATGTAGATGTCCCCAGATCTGGTCCTGGCATGCCTAGCTAGAACAATCAGATCGCATGTGAAATGAATGACTTTTCTCTGTCTGAGACCCTGGAGAGCTGCTGCCAGGGAATGTAAACAACAGTACCTCAGGTAAGGCTTCCTCTGACCGGGGAAGCCTATGCATGTAAGCACTGATTTGCAGCCATTTTGTTCTCGGGTAGGAGGAATTGACCCATTTACCCCAGACATCTGGCAGGTGTTACCTCCCTCTCCAACATCTGGCAGGAGTAAGTCGGAACACTTCTGCAATAGCCCGTCTCTGATAAGGAAGTCTTGAAAGACAGAGAATGGCTTTTTCCCTGCTCCACTTACAACAGGATCTCTTCCTTATAAAGGAGGTGCCATACCTGTCCAGGTATGGTCGAGAACTAGAAATCCAGGACATGCCAACTTTAGCAGTCAAAACCGCTTTGACCAACTTTAGCGGTCAAAACCGCTAAAAAGATTGTGACGGGCTTGAAGTTGTATGGCTGCAGAGACACAATACTTTGAAAGCACATACTTTCCCTAAAATAAGTATGAGTGCTACAGTTTAAGGGCTTGTGGGAATTGTAACTCTGTGAAGGGCAGACTATAGTGCTCCTAACTGATAAAGACCTACAGATTACACACCTGGTAGCCAAATTTGCTCTGGCAGTTAAGAAGCTCCGTTCTGGATATGTTAATGCTCTCAAATTTTAAATTTTTATGCTGTAAACTTTTTATAGGGTATGTTGTGTGATTTTAAAGGAAAGCCTTGCCTTGCTCTCTGCTGTACACTGTAAGGTCTTTGGTTATGCGCGCGCGCGCACACACACACACACACACAAAATCTAAATGTTGAGGGGTTAGAAAATGACAGAGAATCATGTGGATGGACATGAATTGAACTGTGAACTGTATGTGAACCAAACTAGTTCATTTCTCAAAGGGCTGAACGTGAACTAGAATTAGTTCCTTTGGGGACAGGTCGAACTAATTCCTTTTAAAAATGAACTCTCTAAGTTCATTTTACTCACCGCATTCATTGCTGCAATGATCTGCAAAGAGAAAGAAGGAAGTTGGCAGTTGTGTGTGTCTGTACACCCCCTTCCGCCCACACACCATTGTCAGTAACCCAGTTAGGATTGCCAACTTTTGAACTGGCCCCTGCAGATCTTCCCTTACAGCTGATCTGGTCAGCATCTATTTAACTTCAGAGGATGAGTGGGTATTTGTATGGTGCAAAGGGAGAAAGAAGGACCTATAACCCCTATCTAAAGGTAAAGGACCCCTGACAGTCAAGTCCAGTTGTGAATGACTCTGGGGTTGTGGCGCTCATCTTACTTTACTGGCTGAGGGAGCCGACGTTTGTCCACAGACAGTATTTCCGAGTCATGTGGCCAGCATGACTAAGCCGCTTCTGGCGAAACCAGAGCAACACATGGAAACACCGTTTACCTTCTCACCTATTTATCTACTTGCACTTTGACGTGCTTTCAAACTGCTAGGTGGGCAGGAGCTGGGACTGAGCAACAGGAGCTCACCCCGTTGCGGGGGTTCAATCCGTCGACCTTCCGATTGGCAAGCCCTAGGCTCAGTGGTTTAGACCACAGCACCACCTACGTCCCATATAACTCCTATCTACAACTATTCGTTTTATTTTTCTATTACTAACTAGGGACTGCTACCCTTGCCTGCCTCACCTGCCAACCCCTTCACCCACCCGCCCTATATGGCTCAGCCAAGCTATGCACAGCTTACATGTTGCAACTCTGGGCAATAGCTCGTGAAAAACAGTCAGTAGCTTCTGAAAACACGAATCCATCTCTTTAGGAAGCTGAGCCTCTGCAAAGGAAAAGCAAATGGTCAGAGCAGGAGGTCTAGGTGGGCTCCATGTTTCACAGGGCCCTTGGACAAGACACCCACCCTGGGGCCCCTCCGTCAGGAAGCTGACCTCCTCACGGTCATGTTCACCAGCTCCTCCTCCTCTTCCCCATGGTTGCTGCCAATGGATGCTGGCCCATTCAGGCTAATGGGGCACTGCCCTACCAACCTCAATCTGCCAGGCCTTCCCGTCTTCTTACTGTAGCCTTATTGGAGTTCACCGATTGGGTCTGCGTTGCTCCGGGACAGGAGGAAGGAAGTCAAAATGACTCCAAGGTTGGTTCAAAGAAAGAGTTTATTCTGCTCTCCGGATAGCAGAAGGCACTTGCGTGATTAGTCCCCAGCAAGTCCAAAGAAATGACAGGTTTCATGCAGTTTATATATCCTCCAGGCACCCTCTCACTCCTCCCCTAGGAGTCCAACCACGTCGGCCTATGTACGCAGGTTGACATCACATATGTTCCTGCTCTGGTACTCTCAACCATAAAAGGGTCTTCCTTCCTGTACTTCTGACCATAAAAGGATCTTTCTCTTCCTACTCTTATCTGGGAGGACGTCATAATCTCCGGGAACACGCTTTTGGCGTTTCCCCCGGACATTGGTCTTGCGCGTATTTTGTGGTCAGCACATAAGATAAAGTTCTGATGTGTTTTCTTTGTTCCCCTGGAGAGCCAAGGCCATCCCTTGCCTGTCCTGATAAAGGGCAGAACTGTTTATGCAGTTGTGTCCTTCTTATGGTTTTGCTCAACAGTTCAAGTTTTACACATTTAAAAGTGCTCTCTTTTGAAAGAACAAAAGGGGGGGGGGTTGAGTCAGTTTTTAAACTTACTACACAGAAACCCATTCCTTCATTACATATAACCAATCCAGTGGGTGGCACTGCCTATCAGCTTCCTACTCCCTTGGTGCAAGCGCTGTCCCTGTGGAACTCAGCTGGGAGGACGATGGGGACAAAACTAGGACTAGTTGGCTCTGCCTCCACATACTGTTTGGGCTCTTTGCCTTCTGGCCCACCAGTCCCACAGGGCACCAGCCACCACTGAATTGCTACCACTTGCTAGCCTGCTAGGCAGAGAGCCAGGGAGAAGGCAGGCAGGCAGTGGCACCTCCTTCCTCTTTCCAGCACTTCTATGTCATAGAGAGATGTGGGCAAACAAGAAAGCAGTTGACGAAGAGGAGCAGCAGGCCCAGGGACCCCCACATGCCGTGTGGACCCCTGGCGCCGTCCCTTTGCATGATGAATTGTGATGTTGAAAAGGAGGAAGGGCCAACAGTGGGAGTGCAATATAAGCCAGAATGTTTAGAAATGCGCATTTTAAAATGTAGATTTTGTTGGGTTTTTCTTTTTTTTAATTGTTTATTTATTCTTCTGATTTATTAAATGTATATGCCACCCTGAAGATCACAGGGTGGTTTACATGACACACACCACCATTTTGTGCTTTTCCCTGCCCCATGTTTTTCATCCAATCTATCCTCTAAAACAAAGTTTAACAGCATGCAGGAGCAGAGTCGAAGGAAACGCTTCCTCCAGTTCCAAATTCCTCCCCAAAGACCTAGATAACAACAGAAACAGCAGGGTTTCCAGCAGGGGCGCCCAACAACTATATTGCCTATATAATTCAGGCTTATAATTCAGTTAGGAGGCAGCAGAGCTACATAAATATGAACAAACCTGCTGTCAACCACTGTGATCAGAAACATGCATGTATCTGAGCATGACCTGTTGAGCCACATTTTACATTCCCCCCCCTTTATTTTATGGGAAATAGGACTGGGATCATTATTTCGTTTATTTTTGAGCCAAGAGCTTGTGGAGTGGAAATTTATTCTAAAAGTGTTGTTGTTTTTTTTTAAGACAGTGTGCCTATTTGTCATTTTATGGATCCACTGTTTCCCTTGGCAACTGCTCTGGTGCCACTCTCCCTCCCAAGGTGCTGCTTCTTTCTCCTTCCTCCAGAGTAGTTACATGGGTGAGCCCACCCAATCAAGAATCCTAAAGTGAATATAATGTCATGAGGCCATATAATGAATCATATTTGGCTGGATGATGGTGTCAATGAGGGCAAGTGAGGCCAATTTAAATGAGCAACTGAATAGCACAAAAATTAATCCAAGGTTTTCTGTATACATGCAGGCTAACACCCCACTCTATCTTGTGGGAATGGGCTATAAACAGAGTTTTGATGAATGTGTTTATTGTGAGACTGGAGCTCTTAGTGATGCACATTGTTTACTGTGTCCATACAATGTTCTGAGCTTCAGAAGAAGCCAGGAGTTTTGTTAGGTGGGCAGCCAAAGTTGATGAGCTTTTGGGAAATCACAGGTAAAAATACCCCCATTGTAGGGAGCCAGCTTTCGGGGGGGGGGTCATCTGCTTGGGTGGGGGGAAACTGAACCTAAATTGATTTAGTACTTTCAGTGCTACGCCCATGATGCCAGCCTGCATTTCTCCCCTGTTTAAATCAGATTTTCCCTTTCAGTGGGAAATCCTCTGTGTGTTTGTCTTTAATGTTATGAACAACCCACTTGGAAGTTTAAAGTCCCATCTGGAAGCACTCATAGACTGATTTGTCAACACAGTACCTACCCAGTAGATAGCGGTGCACTATATTGAAGAAACCACCAGATGGCGACGCCTAGTTGATTGTGAGGTAAAAGGCACTGAAAGATTTAAAGTGTAAAAGACTGGGCAACAACCAGCCAGATATATGAATGAGCTGGGCAGCCAAAGTAAAATTATCTTGACCTACATTTGAGGAGCATGCCTTCAGAGGCCGCACCAGACACTTTGCTGAACACATTCCAATATACATACATGCAACATATTACAGCCATTTGGAAGATAACAGTCATATATTCCTGATGGCCATGTGATACCATTCATTTTAGCATAATCTCTACCTTTAACTTCATTTTCCATGATGTGTTTCAAACAGCGTTTGAAGTGGGCACCTAAGTCTGCCAGCGAAAAGTCATCTGAAGAGAATGGAGGGGGGGGGATACAGTTAGGGAAAAAATAGCCAGCTTCATTCCATCTTTTTTTATTCTGAATTGCCTTGCGAATCACTGAGCCCTGTCTGCCTCCTTCCCCATAAAGCTTTCTTGCAGGGCCTGATGTAGAAGCCAGGCACCTCCACAGATAAGAGGTGTATAATGCCTTTGAACATGGAGTTTTTGTTCTGAGCAATTGCAGCTTGTTTTCCCTCTTCCTTCCATTGTTTTTTCTCCCTATTATTGTATGTCTGCATGTTAATATGTATTTATTATGCATACAATCCATGTAAACCTGGGAGTTAAATCCCACCGGAGTCAATATTTATTCAGTCAAATCTCTATGCAATCCTTCAAAATAAACCTCAGGGCAGCTCACACACAAACTATACAGACATAAGAGCATAACATATGCCTGCAGGTTCAGGCCAGTGGCTCTTCTCACAGTGGCTGACCAGAACATAGCCGTTCTGGCTAGCAGCCATTGATAGCCTTTATCTTCCATTAATTTCTCTAATCCTCTTTTAAAACCATCCAAGTCGGTGGCTGTCACTGCTTTCTGCGGGAGCAAGTTCTACAGTTTAGCTACGCACTGTGTGAAGAAGTACTTAGAATCCTTGAACTGTGGAGTTGGAAGGGATCCAGTGGATCACCTAGTCCATCATTCAGCTTGACTGGATGTCCATGAGTTCCAATGTTAGGAGAGAGGGAGAGGAAAGTCCCTCCACTTTTTCCATGCCAAGCGCGATTGTTGAAACTGCTATCATGTGGCCTCTTATTGGAGCGTAAGAACTCAACGATAACTCAGCTAACTTCTTCTGACTCGAATAAAAGGCGTAGGAATATGCCAGAGAAGATTGGTGCCCCATCTTTCTTTCAAGAATAGAAATCCTCCGAATTAGATTTAGAGCACAGCATCAAGAGAAGAACAATAAGATTTAAACCCAGACTGAAAGCACGCCACACACAAAAGCACCGTAAAATAAAATTCAGTAGTGATAGCCACCAGTCATCAAATTGTCAATTTACTAAACCAAAGGCCTCAGTCAGGACACTTTCTCACCAGAGGTGAAGGCCAGTATGGCGGCTGCTCTCCTCAGTTCCACACACAAAGTTTTTTTTTTACCACAGACTAGCTTAGGGGGCACATGGCAGGCCAGGCCACAAGCACCTGTCTCTGTTCTCCACAACCTGGACTCCATCCCTCAGTCACCCTCTGCTTAACTGTGGGATTAGCCCTCTTTAGCCAAACAATAAGAGCTCAAGGACGAAAAAGCCAGGTGGGCCTGTCTAGGGAGGATTTTTTGATGACAAATTTTCTGCTATCTCCTATCTACCTGCCAAACTTCAGGTGGTGGGTAGGCACAGTATCTCCTTAAATTAAATCTCCACTGTCCTGTTACATACACACACACACACACACACACACACAGAAAATATATTGCTTAAGTCACATCCTTCTTTCCTAGGGAAGTGAGTGTCTGTGAGGGGGGTGAGGTTACCTGTCAGGGAGGCCTTTTTTCAGGCCTTACCTGGCAGGAAATAATTTACCTCAGAGTTCCAGATTTTGAGGCTGATTCTTGGCTGGGTCCCCAGCCCAAGCTGCCTTCTGCACTCTCTGTCTTATTTTGTCGCATCTAGGATATGCCATAAGCTACTAGGTTTTGTTGACTGGGCCTCTAACATTTTAATACTAAGGGCAGGGCAATTTATGCAGTTCATATGATAATATGCTATCCAGCCCACAACCTGTACAATTAAAGTTCCAATGCTAAAAAAAATGCATGCAGATCCTATTAAGGGATGCAGAGGTCAGAGTGGTGCCTTTGGACCCTGGAATTCTTAATATTCGCCCCCCAAAATCATGGGTTCCCTGGCAGGAGCACTGGGATGGGTGCAGCCATACCAATAACAGCCATGTATTTTTTTTGATCGATTTCCTGGTGAGGGAGCTCTTCTAAGAAATTATCCAAGTCTGCCTTCAGTTTTGTTTTGAGCTGTGGGTTCCAGAAGAGATGCTTGTCCAGGTAGATATCTTTGAATTTCTTCACAACTGCCATGGCATCTGCATTGCATTTCAGGCATCCATGGGATCCTGCAATGTCCTGGGCTATTAGCCAAAACACTAGCCAAGACATCACCCTTTGCTGTGGTTCCCAGAAAGGAGCCTTGGGCTGTGTTGAGGTGATGTCATAGCTATGACATCACAAAGCCCACATGTTCTCAACCAATGTAATAATAATCACGGTTGAATTTTATTTATTCGAAGCATTCCTACCCTGCTCTTCAGCTGAGAAAGCATCTTACAAAGATCAGTTATAAGCCAGCCCTTTCCTACAGACTTACACAATATGAAAGACATGACACAAAAGGAAAAAGGGATTAGCAAGGAGGAGGAAAAACAAACTCAGCCACCAGTTCTTTCTGTTGTGAATACTTTTCCTCATTTCCCCCCCTCTTTGGCCAAATAGGACCCAGGGAAAGGAGAGGGGAGAAGGCACCCGGGGGGGGGGGGGGAAGAGAGAAATGGGGCTTTATATCCATTTCCCAGTTACCAATGATACTTCAAACACAGGTAGCATACAAACCATACATTGAAAACACACCTAAAGCACACACACCACAAAATAATTCTGGAAGCTGTGGTTTATCCCTCATAGAGCCACCCTACCCAGCACTTGCAAAAAACTGTAGTCCCCAGGATTCTATGGGAGTAGAGGTACTTTAAACATATAGTGCATATGCAGCTCCTGAGATGCAGATATTCACAATGGTACAACAACTAGCACAGAATGCCAGGGTAGTCATATATCTCAATGTAGGCCACACATACTTGTATTGTTTTGGTGGCAGCTGTCTTTGATATGCTGCACCATCAAATACAGGCCATGTAGTCAGGTCCTCAGTTTGTTACCCATCTGTTGGTGAGGATTTGTTCTTCCAGTGTTCTAGGATCAGTCTCTTCGCGGTTGTGAGGGCTCTCAGAAACCACTTACGTTGTCCATCAGTTGACTCTCACAACACTGGAATATATTTCACAATTAAATGGGTATAATTAAACCTTAAAGCGAGTACTTGATACCAAATTAATATGGTCCGTAACCTCTGCCCAGAAAAAGAAGCAATTGTGGGGCACATGTAAATAATGTATATTAAACTCGCTTGATCTATGCTGTTACTGCCAATAAACAGCTGATGCAGATGCAACCAGCATCTCTTTTCTGAGGGGGCAAAGAGGAATTCAATAAATTTGGATGAGCAGTTTCTGTTGGATTCAGCATAATATTATGCAGGTTTTTAAAAAAATAAAATTAATTGAAAACAAAGCCAATTGTGATTGTCTGCCTGTTCATTGTCTTTCATAAAGGAGTTCATTCAACTTATGCATTCAGGGGTACCATGGCCAGTGGGTTTGCCACAATCACTTTCTCTGCCCCCAATAACATTTTTTCATAATGCAATAAAATTAAAAACAATTTTTTAAAACAACAACAACAACAAATAAAATAAAATGCAGAATCTACGAAATCACTTTTAGATAATCCTGCAGATGACTCCCAGGTACATATATTGGGAGCTAGTGTGAAATAGCGGTTAGTGTTGGACTAGGACCTGGGAGAGACCAGGATTCAAAACCCTGCTCAGCCATGAGACTCACTGGGTGGCTTTGGGCAGGTTGCAGTGTCTCGGCCTAACCAACTTCACAGGCCTGTTGTACAGATAAAATAGGGGGAGGAAGAGATTCGTTTACTCCTCCCTGGAAGAAAGACAGGATATAAAATTTGTTGCGCTATTTTCTTCTTTTTTTTTTTGTCCACTTATTTCACCATCTGATAGCGGTGTCTTTGCACCTTTTTGTTGCAAAAATATTTGGCATGTGCACACACATTTGCACATTTGACTGCAGTTTTAATACAGACGACAACCATTTTGTGCCAGGTTCCATTCCTGGCCCCTGCGCACCTTGGTAGAGTGAGCATAAGTCCAGCCCACCCAGCCCTATTACATTCTGCCCCTGTTACACCCCCATTCTGCCCTCTTCTGGGTCCAAAAGGGCCACGTGTTGGTGGTTGTACGTCAATTGAATGCACCCAAAATGGTCGCCTCCTGTATATTAAGCCCCATCTCCACTTGTGGGTCAGGGGAAGCTGCTTTCATTGGTCTGTCTGGGACCACCGCCTTCCTGCTCTCCATCACACCTTGTCCACTCTTCCCCATTCTCTGCCTAAGACCTGCCAGTTTACCATTTAAAATAGTTTTTGCCAATGCCTCTGTAGCAAATGCAACCACTCCCATCATTCTGGGAGCCACCTTGCCCTTCTTCCTCAGAGCAAGAGGCACTATGAGCGGCAAACGCTCTTCAAAACCCTTGCCAAGGCTGCTAAAAAGTCTGAATGGTAAGCTAGGTTTGTACAGTATCTCGGCTTGCAGTCCTGGCTTACAGGGCGAGTGCCAACACCAGTTTTCCCATTCAGATGTCATGGTGATCGTTGATCGTAAATGATTATTTAAACTGGGGGAGTAGGGAAGGAATCATAACCCATAAGGGGAGGATAGGAAAGAGCTTGCCTGAGGCTGTGTACACACTTATACCTTTAAAGAACCTTCGGAGCACATTCTTTCCCTCAATAATAATAATAATAATTTATTTATACCCCGCCCTCCCCGGCCAGAGCCGGGCTCAGGGCGGCTAACACCAATAAAATCACAGTAAAAACATAATGGGGGGGAAGGGGGGGAGAAAAAGAAAGGAAAAAAACCCAATTTAAAATACAGGTTAAAATGCAATTTAAAATGCAGCCTCATTTTAAAATAGCTGATAAATCAAGACCATAAAGGGAGGGAAACATAAAGGTCAGACCGAGTCCAAACCAAAGACCAGGCAGAACAGCTCTGTCTTGCAGGCCCTCCAGAAAGATGTCAAGTCCCGCAGGGCCCTAGTCTCTTGTGACAGAGCGTTCCACCACGTCGGGGCCAGTGCTGAAAAGGCCCTGGCCCTAGTTGAAACCAATCTGACCTCCTTGAGGCTTGGGACCTCCAAAGTGTTGTTATCAAGGAATTCTGGAACTTGTAGTTTACCCTTCACAGAGTTACAATTCCCAGAAACCTTTAATAACCTACAGGGCCCAGAATTCTTTGAAGGGGTGGGGAATGTGCTTCAAATGTGCTTCGAAGATATCGTGTGTATGCAGCCTGAGGCTCATCCCCATAGCGCCAATCCGTAGTTTAGTATTTAAAATGTGCCTGGTTCAAGATGTGTGTCGGACTGCCCCCTTATTATAATGCTTCTCCCTCACCCCCCCCATTCCCAGCTGACCCTGAGGAGGTCAGTTCCCCAAAGGCCTCCTCTCTCTTCACTTTGCCCAACCCGACCCGCCACGCCTCATCATCTTGTAAATTCCTGGGCCGTGTCACCCTTTCATCGCATCTTGTATATCGGGGCTCTGGGACCACCTGGCCTTGTGGGGTCAGAATAACTGCGGTCACGGTCTGCTCTGCATTAATTAACCTTTGATCCTTAACGGGCACCCCGGGGAGGAGAGGCGGGAGAGCCTCGTAAAAACAACAGGGAGATTAATGGCAAGCAAGCAATTTCACTTTCAAGACTTTTGGACAGCTGAGGGGGGCGGCGAAAGGAGCCCATCGGACGGGTAGTGAGGGCGGGTGGAAAGGGGGCTTGTGCAGCAATCTGGGAACCGGGGAAACCTATCAGGCCGCAATAGCAAGAAGAAACCCTGTGAGCAGGGTTGCCAACTGATGGAGGGGGAAGCAGCCTGGCCTGCTCCTGCGCTCTTGACGCCAGTTTGATTTGCAGAAATCAGAAGAAGAAGCTTTTTTCTCAGCATCAGGATAAACTTTACCAACTGTGTGAAAAGCACAGCTGCAGAGGCCGGCTGGAAAGTTGGCGACCCTGATGCAGTGAGTCCAGATTACTGTACTTGGCTCCGGGGCATAGTTTTAGAATTTGATCTTAAATTGTACATTGCAGGCATGAAAACATCTGAAGATCATTGTATGTTGGGATTTATTTCTACTGAATCCATTAACTCAAATTATGCATTAATATTAGAAGCACAACATACATAGCTTCTTGGGCCCAAACCTAATTATTAATTGCAGTGCTTTTTTTCTTAAAAAATGTTTAGGGGGTACTCTCATTTTCCTACTCATTTTGAAATACTGCCCCTCAATAAGGCCAAACTTAGATTCACAAAATGTTTAGGGGTATGCGTACCCCTGTGTCCCCCCAGAAAAAAAGCACTGATTAATCATTAGCATCTTATTTGTGAGTTTTTCTGATATTTGCAAATGCCTCTGTGCCATTTCCCTCTCCCTTTCTAGTTTAGTTTTAATTGATCTGACAGCTATTTAATTGATAGTATGTTTCAGCACAATCCTATACATGTTTACTTTGAAATAAGCCCCTCCCCACTATGGGACTTCTTCTCTTGTGCATTTAGGATTAATATTGCATTGTTATTCAGGTGGTGTTTTTTTTAATTCCTGCTTTTTTCTGGTTGCAAATTCACTTTCTCCTCTATAAAGTATTACCTTGTGCTATCAGCTGCTTAGACATGTTTAACCGATTATTTAATTTTACTGAATGAAACCAAATAATTAAATGGGCATTACCAACATCTCAATATAGTTTCTTTTTTAAGGATTTGAAAAGATGGGTTTAGGGTTTAATAACTTTAGTAAGCAATTTAATAAGCA